ACACGTCATTGCTATATGGGATTCATCACCATGGGCTGTTTTGGATGCCAAACAATTCTGAGACATGTATAGCTATTAAACACGGTAATGCAGACACAATCTTCGGTTCAAGAGATCCCTTTGCCACAGATTGCCTGAATTTAAGTAGCTGCAAGATGGGGAATAGCAACAGAAACTACTGGTTTCTATTTTGTACAGGGGCTCATCACATACAGGTATCAAGGAGCTTTTCAGGGATGAGGCTGTTGCAATCCGTTTTATAGCTGGACACTAGAGCACAGAGAGGTTACAGTCTGGATTTGCAGCTGCTCAGCACTGCTGCAGCTCAGCCCAGCCAAAGATCCCAGGCAGCGCTCCTGTATTTTACCCATTTCTTCTTGCTGGTCCCCCAAACAGACTTTTTGAACCCCTGCAGTGCTAGCATTGCTGCTTTGCCTTTCTCCCTTCCCTTTCCCTTTATAGGCTGTGCCCTCCCTCCACGCAGACCCCTGCAGATCTGCAGCAGCAGATATCGATTGAAGGCAGTGCAGAACAGGCCTAGCAGAGACCCTACTCTTTACATCTCACCAGCCGCTCATTAAAAATTGAAATCCCAAGCCTGCAGGACTCTTTCCTACAGAGACACACCACAGCTCATTCCATGCTGCAAACGCTGGGCACCAAGAGGAGGCTGGCGCTGGTGGCAGGAAGGGTTGGGGGGTGTTTCAGCCCTAGGCTTATTGCTGTCCTTTACAATGGGCTTCAGCAATACAGTAAACCCAGCTGGGGCTCTTTGTACCAGCTCAGAAATGACAGAGCCAAGGGGCGCAGAGCTCCAGCTTAATAAGTTGGGGGATCCAGGGCTGCCTTGATCTGTCATCACTGGGGAGATGCAGCCTTTCAGCTATGGAAAATGTCCTGCCTTCTCTGGGGTTCCCCGTCCCTCCCTGGGGCCGGCTCCTGCCCCGTGCTGTGAGGTGCCCGCTTGCTTTCTCCAGCCGCTCTGTTTCCCATCCAGGACATTACACAAGATGCATTTGCTGTTCTCAGCCTAGGATCATTTGCATTAGTTGTGCACTTCGTTAGCCACCTTAAGAAATGAGGGGAAGACCTCTGCCAGCCTTTCTGAGTATCGTCAGACAACATACGCACCCTTGCGCTGCTTATCCCAGGAAAATTCCAGACCCAGAGCTGGGCTGAGCCCAAAACTAAGTAAATACATTAAAAATAGTGTCCCAGCCCCTGGCTTGCTTGGTCCTTCTCACACTGGCTTGCTTTCCTTGGACAGCATCAAAGTATCCTCTGGTGCCTGCAGAGTATTTGAATCATCCTCGGCCTTGCTGAGCTGAGCAAAGCTCCTTCAGAAGAAACAAAGATACTGAGAAAATCTAGGAATTCCCAGTTTTCCCAGATCCCAAATCTCCTGGGATCTAACTACTTGATAGTTTTTTTTATAAAGGTCCTCCTGGACCTTCAGTCACAGTGGACCTTTATGCCGACAAAACCTGTGACTTTGCTGAGCTATGCAGCCCAGCAGCAGAGACCTGGGCTGGCCCCACGGCCGCCACGGAGGCACAGGCCACACACGCCGCTATTTGGCCCATCTGTGCCACAGGGCAATGTCCAAGATGGCTGCAGCCTCCAGCTGTACAAGATCTGCTGAGGACAACCAGTGGGACAGGGCAAGGAACGGTGGCCCTTTCTGGAAGGTGCAAGCTGAAATTCAGAATCACTTCTGCAGAGGATGAGCCAATTAGCTGAGGAAGCACTCCCTGTCCCAATCCCCATCCTCAGGGATGCTACTTCTTCTTGGCCCTGTACCGTGAGCTGGTGACTTTTGAGAGGAGAATCTTCAGTGAGCTGCTCCAGCAGGATCCCGACAGCAATTTGAGTCCATCCAGGGATATTTTAAAACCCAGCATCAAACACAAAACCCAGAGCCTCTCTGCTAAATAAAGAGGTGGACTGGGAACATCTCTGGTCTTCCCTTCCCATACCAGATGGGCACCAGATTGAATTAGCAAGAGGCAGGTTCAACACAAACAAGTTGCGCAACATCTTCACGTGGACAGCATTAATCTGTGGAGCTCTCTGCCACAGGACACTGTGGATGCTAAAACGTTGCATGGGCTCAGAAAGGAATTGGTCAAATTAACGGAAGCAAAATCCATCAAGTGACATAAATACAACGAGCCACAAATCGGTGGAGGTGCAAAGAGTATTCCTGGGAAACATGACTGTTTGCCATTCTCATACAGCCTTTGCAAGGCGCATGGAATTAGCTACCGCTTGAGACAGTCGTGGGCTTGATGGGTTAAGCCTGATGCAGAGAGCCAGCTTCAAGAAACAGTTGCAGGCGCACGTGCCTGCTACGAACAGAGGAAGAGGCTGTCCTCATGACAACACCTAAAGGCCATCCCTTCCCCCGTCCCTGAGAAACAGGAATGAAATTCATGCAATTGATTGCTCCAGTCTGCGGTCTAGTAGCAGAAACCAGCTCAGCATGACCTTGTTGCTAACTGCTCTAAGCCACATTCTGGCATTGCAGACGAGATGGAGGAACCAGAATCGCGTTCAGCGTGACTGTTTGCTTTCAGCGCAGAAGGGCAGATAATGATGGACCCATTGGCCCCTCTGTGATATAAAAAAAAGCTGCTGTCTGTCAAATAGGAATAGCATTTCCTTTCTCTCTGCCCTTCACCTGTCTTATCAGGCTGGTGTGGAAGCTCTTGGGAGAGGATCTGCCCCTCTGGGCTCTTGGCACCATGCAGCCCCAAATCAGAGTGGAGACATAGCTTGTCCCACGCCAGCCCTTTCAGATGCTGAGCCACAGAGCTGCATTGCTCCTCCACATGAAATCACTCTGGGTTTGCAGGGTGGGAGGGGATGACGGTCTGCAGGAAGATGGGACGCCTGCTCCCAAATTTGGGCTGTTTGCATGGAAAGGGAGGAGGGAAGCTAGAAATTCCTTCCTGCCAGGAGCCCTGCAAGCAGCGCTGGGCCCCAGCCAGAATCCAGCCCGATCACCCATGGCTCCGCTCCCTTTGGTCTCCCCAAAGGTCATTCTTGCTTAGTCACTGTGGCTTTTTGTTTAGGAAATACCAATCGGGATGTCCTGCCCTGTGGAAGGGGGGGCAACCACAGCCTCTGCCAAGTGACTGTAATAGACCTTTCCCTGCGGCTCTCCAGGACCAGGAAGCCTGCAAGAGACTCATGGAGCAAAACACAGGCTCCAAGCGCACAGTGCCCTGGGCGATGCTGGCCAGCCCAGGAGAGCGCAGTCAGCAGCACTGTCGCCAAGTCGGTCTGCCAGAAGGAAGGTACAAAGCTCTCACTTCAGGTGACCTGAAGCAGGTCAACATGAACCAAGGCTGGCATGTGTCAGCAGCAGGAAGCATCAGCAGGGACCAGGTCCCCGCTGTGTCCTTCAGTACAAAGCTGCAGAGAAGCAAGTTGCCTGCAAAGTTCTCCCTGGTCAAGGCACTGAGCTCAGTGTGCTGGCTCTGCTCCTGGCAACCACATGGAGGTGGCCAGGAGAAATGGAGCAGCTCACAGGTGCACATCTCTGGGACTCAATGGATGTATCAGGCTTCCAACATGCCAAAGCAGACAGAAAAAGTACCCCAGGGAGCATTCTGTCCCCAGCTCTGCTAGCAAGCTTCCCAGCTGGCCCAAGACACTATGCTCCACAGACTCAAAACGGCTCTGTCTGTAAAGCGAGAATCATTTCAACCCCACCTTTCAGCTGTGCTTGCAGTCTGAGGCGCGCTTTGTTATTTCAGCGCAAATAGCATTTTTATTATTGTTGCTCCTGGAGTATTTCTATTTTGGTAAACCCCAAAAATTCAGCCACGCCTCAGCCCTGGAGGTCTTAGGCGGGGCCACCATTACATAGCTAATGCTCGAGAAACTGGCTTAGCGTGGGTTCCCGAGGCTTGTGTAAAGAAGCACATTCAGAGAATTTCCCCATTCTGCTGCAACTCCCATTTCCTGTTTCACAGGAAACTCCAGCAGACAGCAAATAAACTTCAAAGACTATCACACCCAAACGGAGAAACGATAAGGAACTTGGTTCTGATCCATGCTGCAGTCAAATGTGATAAAATTCCAGCTTCTCATAAGCCAGAAAACTGGATGTTTGCCAAGAAGCTAAAAATAAGTCAGAGCGCGCTATATTTAAAGGTATGTACTAATAAATGTTCCTGTCCTTGATGAACTAAACTGCAGTTTCCAGAAAAGCACTCGCTATTTTCCAGGAGCGGTTTGGAGGAAGCTCTGGCAACAGCAGAACAAAGGTGAAGTCCACAGCTTTCAACACATTTTAGAACAACTACCTCGTGGCTGCAGCTGTGCCAGTGCTGTCCCTCCAATATCAACGGGAAACTGGGGACTTGTTTGACAGGAGCAGAAAGGATTTCTGTTTCATCAGGCAGGACGGGCCAGAGCCTGTGCTCGTGCGTCCCCACGTGGCTGTCAGCACTTTCACTTCTGTGACTTACTGAATTTTGCCTGTTTTCATTCATTCATCAGAAACAAAATTAGCCCTTTCACATAGAGCGGGGATTAGAAGTTCCAGCCACTTGGTGGCATGAGCGTTTACGGTTGCACGCTGCCGCCCACCAGCACTGAGGGAGGGAGCTGGGCAGAGGGGTCCTCTGAGCATCCAGCCACTCATGTCTTTGCACTCAAAAGCAGCATCTTAGGCACCCAAAGTATTTTAAAGTAGGAGCATGAAGTGGTAGAGTAAGAATCAAACTAGAATTAAAGACTGAACTAACCCGTCAAATATTTGGCTGGAACAGTGACAATTACTTCATGTGGGTATAATAATGACTCCAGCATGCTTATGAGCCAAGTGTTTATACAGGCAGGACTGTCCAAGACCCTTGGGTGAAAGCAACTGTGCCAGAGCTCATTATTAGCACTGTTTCACTCGACAAGTAATCTGTTAAACTACGTTACAGCAGCACTGCCTGTAAACAGAGCACAGCCATGAATTATAGAAAGGACACCTGATCCGGTTAAACAAAGCCTTACTTTAATTTCATTTATAAATATATATTTACAAAAAGAAGGTATCAATCCAAAGAGTTAAACAAATGTACAGCTCCCAAGTATTGCTACATTACAGGGAGAAAAATATCATTAATACGGTCCCACAATTTACAATATCCATTATTCAAAAAGAAACCACTTTCTTAATTTAAAACACCTCATCAGAAGTTTATAATCTCCCCCGATGTAAAAGCATAATCTGCCTTAAACAGAACTACACGACAAGAAGGAACCGACCCCTTTCATAACAGTTTTTCACACAAAACGCATCACTTTCTTGCAGCTACATGAACATTGTAACCTCAAATTTCATGATCGTACGAAAGACACTTTCCCAGCCCAAAGACTGCTTGGAGAGCACAGCTTGAGGAAAGCATATTGCATGGATTCAAGAAATGTAAACTTCTTGCAAAGTCAACATGCTAATGCCAGGTTTTTAGATAACTTCCTAAGTGGGTTATCTAAAACATTCCCCTGCTCACTTAACAGTGACAAGTAAAGGCCTTGCGTTCTGATTCAACTCTGGTTTAAATGGTTAACCCCAAATCAACTGCACTTTAAGAGCCAGTGAGCCCAACTAAATTCTCTGCATGTGTAATGCAGTGTATTGAGACCCTGTCAGCCACGTTCCCTGCTATCCTGTGCTGAGGACCTGGCAGAGGACACGACAGATAACACTACACCACACCTTCATGGCAAACTTGGAAATAAGTACTTGGGCACCAACTGCATTATTATTATACAGCCTCAATACGATGCCAGATGGCATCATCTTCACAGCGTTAGTCAGACAGCAACCGCTCACAGAATCACTCTGCCTCTGAACTTGTATGTGCAATTTTCCTCATAACCTGGTTTCACTCTCACTGTAGTCTCCATTCACAGGCCTAAGAGAAAAGAGGTGTTTTACATAACGTCCAAGGGTTTAATCACGGTCTTGGTGAGATGTTACTAAGACCTCCAAAAATACTTTGGATAAAAGACCAGAGCTGCACAGAAAACACTTTTGCAGTTTTTCCACTAGACCTCAGCAATCCTCCTACTACAGCCAACAGCAGCATTTCCTTGAAATTCAGAGGCCCCACCTCAACAAGCTCAGTGTCACCCAAATCACAGAATGAGAGAAAGATAGAGATCCAAGGAAGAGGGGTCAGAACATTGTAATAGAAGTAGCAATTGCCTCCAAGAACAAACTACAGGTAACTGCACAGCTGAAACTATTTGAGGTACCAACTGCTGGAGGTTCTCAGGTAACAGAAGGCTCAGCTCGTGCACGGCTTTTCTGAAGGACGCTCAGCATTTCTGTCTTAATTCATCCACTACTTATAAACCCTGCGTGGGAGCCAACTAGGATGACTATTAATTTAAAGTTTAGGCAAATTAATTCAAATCCAACTAAAGAAAGAACTTGGAAACACAAACTGCTAGAGAAAAATTGAATGCAAGCTGCTATGAGTGTTAACCCGAAGTCTTGCAGAATTTATTTACTTCTTTTAATTCACACACTGTTTATGCAGCTCCCAAATCTCGTGGTCAAAGTAGCGTTCTCCGAGTTCACTACTGTAAATTCAGTCTGGCTTAAGTCTTCTGCCATCCTCAAGATGCTGTTTGGTCATCTTTAGCCACAGTCTGCAGAAGAAAAGAAGAGCATATCACAGAAAAACTATTTGAATCACTGTCAGGATTCTGGGGGGACACAATCGCTTCTACCAGGCACTGACGCTGGTCTAGGCCCTAGGTTAACCACTACAGTGGTAGAGCCTTCAGAAGCAAATCCAGCTTCAGAAGAGCACAAACCATGTGCCCCAGTCACCTGCATAAGACACAGAGCCACAGTTAGGAATTCTGGGGAAAGCAAAAGTTAAGTGACAGCCTACAAGTGGATAGTTTTAACTACTGCTGCAGGGAACTATGGAATTAAGAAAACCCAGCACTCTGGCAGGAAAGGACGTGATGAGAAGAGCTGACTGGAAGTGAGAAAGAGAACATAGAAGGCAGTGGCAATCCTTTCAGCTAAGAGCTATGCATGCTGCAGCACATGGACCAGTGCAGGGTACCTTCAGATGTATGTTTTTGTGGTTAGCCCATTCTGAAGGGAAAATTGCAACAAAAGGAGTAATTCAACAGTCCTTTAGCCAAGAGACAAAGTGTTTGTCAAAAGCTATTTTACTCTTCACCCTTTTCACTCTGTGCCCCTTATCTCCAATAGAGCAGCCATATTTCAATAACTTCTATGGAACTTGTCCATGATAGCAGTAAATAACATGAGCTCGTGATGTGCTGCAAATGGAATTTGATGCCAATAATCAGCATGTTTTTCTATGACTGTAACTAAGGATTTAAATTCACAAGAAAGCAAGGTATGAAGGGTCCCACTGTAGAACTCCAAACAATAAGTTTTTCCATCTTTCTTTTCATGGTCCAGGCAGGAAAGAAGCTTATGGACAGAAGCAGATTTGACTGCACAGATTTGACAGGCTTCCAAACCCCGGGAAATCTTACCTGCCGCAAGAACTGCTTTCCAAGATAGCTGGTCGCCATGCTTGTCAAGTTCTTTCTGCTGCCAACTTTACACCTGATATAACCATAAAGGTTGGCTCCCTGAAGTACCACCCCCATCACAACCACTGCCTAAGACAGAGGAGAAAACAAGAGTCAGATATTTATACTGACTTACCTGTAACATGCAAAGATCTATTACTGAGTTGGAGAAATCAACTCACCAGCCATTTCACTTTGAAAGAAAAGAGAGCACTGAATGCAAATATCACCCAGATCATAGGACAAGTGATGAGACCTAACCAGAAAATTCGAGACTCTGCTTCTGATGAGGCTTTGTTCCCTTGTGCTGATACCTAGAAACAGAATGGAAGTGGAGCTGAGCAGGCTTCTTCATTGTACAGATCACACTGTTATTAAAAACCGTTCTGAATCTACAGGCCTCCAGGTTTTTGCCTCCACATGACAGCACTCAGTGCTTTCAGGATCAATTTCTACATTACAGTAAGATCTTTCTGCAATGTTTCCATTTAAGTTTTTTTTTTTTTTTGGTCAATTTTCTATAAGAAGCAGCACTGGCAGCAGCACCAAGTCCTCTCAAAACGCTTAATGGAGCGCTAAATGGCCCCAATAAGTTTTGAGAACATCACATTTACTGCATAGTTTAGTTACACAGCATAGCAACAGCCAAATAGGTAATGTTTTCACCTCCAAATCACTGTACAGACAACCATAATTTCACCAATGCCAGCCTTTGAAGAATTAAATACTAATACTCTTAGCAATCGACGTAGGGTAATTTTTTTTCACATGCAGACATAGAACACAGGTCTGATTCACACCACGCTACTGTTTTTATAAATCTTTTTTTTAAACTAAACCTGTCATTAGACTGTAGGTAGGTATACCACATACAGCGTTTACTCCTAAGAGCAGAAGCTCTCAAGCAAACACTCATTTCCTACCAAAAGTTAAAAGGTTAACAACTCATTGCTAAATTTACTGGATCACCAGCACTTCAGCTACTTTTTTTCCCCTCCTCAATTTGTACCATTTCTTCTAAACTAGCATAGTCTTGAGAAAGGATGCAGCAGTAGTGAGGGCACAAACCCAGCTGAGGAAAGTTTTAGGTTCAAGTCCCTGTGCCACAGCAGACTTCCTGTATGACCATGGGAAATGATCTTTACCTCACTAAAGACTGGCGTGCCAAAAGGGAGGGCTCCATACATACAGAGAAAAGAGATAGGGATAAAAAGGTAAATATGTGACAGATTGCGAGATGCCTGACAGATGGGATACTAAAGACATAGTAGTGGCCATAATGAATGCAAAGGCACAGTAGTAGCCATGATGAACGTTATATGTTTCTTCCTAGTTCTAACAATTTTGTACAGGACATAAAAGGTACATCAGCTGTTCAAGTTCACACCAGAGAACTTGTATAGTAAAGGTTGTATATCATGTCAGCAACCTACATAACCTAGAAGTTCCACGTAATTCATATAAAGCTAGATCAATACTTCACCATAATTTAAAAAAAAAAAAATCTAAAAACATAACAAGTTGAAATAATCCTTATTCAGTATCTACATGAAACAAGCAGGCGGTTACAGGTCTGTGTTTGGAAATTCATTTTATAACGTAGATTATACCTGCATTGCACAATCCACCATCACAAACATAACTACTACGCTTTATCAAACTGAAGCGATTAAGAGTCCTTTACCTTCCTGGCTTCAAACACCCAATGACTTCTACCATCATCATCCACCTGGTTCCACCAGCGAAGGCCGACCATCAGTCGCCCTGTGACATTCTGAAATAGAGGAAAAGCAATGAGACTTTAATTTTCTGCTAACAGAAAACATTAGTCAAATAAAACCTTAGGACTATTCCATCTCAGTATCGGACCCCAGAAACAGTATTAACTTCCTCCTTCAACTCTCACCTCTCCGATAAGCTTCAGATTCTCTAGGCAGTGAATGCCACCTCTAACACCAGCAGCAGCTGTCACAGCCGATTTCATACCACACCTCTCTTAGCAGCGCAGATGGCTGTAGTAGTTAACAACAGTGGCTATACTTTAGAATAAAAGGCATCACGCTCTGTAAATATTTCATATTTTGTTGCTCTCAATCTTGGCAAAGTTCAGCTGTTTGGGTTGCTAATTCCAGTGCTGCTCATCTGCTTTACATTTGGGAAAAAAAGATTGTCCAAACAAAGAGACCGGCAGCGGGAAGAGCAGCAAAGTGGAAAAAAGACAGGGACAAGTAACCCTGGAAAGGCTTTGGGAAAGGAAGGTTGATAGAACCCAGGCAGCTGGCTAAAGAGATCATGCAATCACATGCATCACAGCACAACACACACAGGGATTAAGCTACAGAAAAAGAGATACAGCTAATTTCTTATTTTCTGAGTTAAACTTACTGCTTTTGTAAGTCGTTGAATAGGATGTGAAGATGAAGCAGCTAATAAGGCTCTGAAGTCACCCTTCCCTTTTGGTAACCATAAGCTGTCCCACGAACCAACACAGCTGAACCATAAACTGCAGCTCTGGAACGTCCCAAAGCCATACTACTGCAGGCTATCTCTTCCAAGGCTTGGCGGTGTAGTGCCACATCCCTCCCAAATGCACAACTCCAAAGGTGCAGCCTAGACAGACAGCTGAGCCAGTCTGTTAGCTCACCTCTGCACAAGGGGGCTTTGCTCTCCGCTCCTTTGCTTCTGGACACATTTTCCTACTCACTAGCATCCAGGAAATTTTTTGATTTCCCCGTGAACCAAGACTATTCTTGTTTTACTTGTTGGGTTCATTCCAGCAGGCTTAGTGAACTGAACAGACTCATCAAGCAGCGAGACAAGAACTACAGTCAACACAAGGGGAATGACAAGGATAGGACTGCTGCCTCCATGGGTAAGGAGCAATACGAAAAAGAAGGACTGCTGCCTCCATGGGTAAGGAGCTGTCATGTTACCTCACCCCTCTCATCAAACTGTACCCTAAAAATGAAGGGATGAGCTGCTTTAAAAAGAAAGCAATACGAAAGCACTGCAAGGTGATAGTCATGCAGTTCTGATTTGAAGTGCTGAGTATACAACCGTTGATAATTAAGATGAACAATTCTGCAGACAACAGCATAAGCAGCAAGCTAAGCTTTCTAGGGAATGAAGGCAGGAGCAAACTAGGGCTCTCATGTCTACATTGGTGTATTTTCCAGTACATTCAATGCAAGAACAAATTACTGTAATAATACAAAGACAGGAATATTCTTGGTAGTCTCAAAAATTTTTCTCATAATAAATGCTATGCCATCTTAAAAAAGAAAAAAGGAAGCCTGATATAGATGTTCTCCGTTTGATTTTCAAAAAGAAAGAGGTTTAAGAGTTATTGTTTTGTAATGCTTTACAACACTTCATAACACTTCAGGTATTTTGAGGATTATTTCCTTGGAAAGGTGAAAAGAAGTTACTTTTTTGTCAAACACAGACCAGGACAGTTTACTGTTCAATCATTTCAGATATCAAGATGAAGACAACAAAAAGCATGACAGGAACTTACCTTTACAGCCCAAAAGTCACACGACAAGAGGAGGATAATTGTTACCATACAGGCAATGAAGCTGCTAGTTAAGAGCTCGCAGAGCAGATAGACAACTATCGCACTGACTCGGAAGAACAAGTGGAAAAATGATGCCACTGGATGCCTGGAAACGACACATGAGAAGTGCAGTACAGTCACAATTCTTTCAAGCAATTTCACAAAGAAATGACATTCTGCCACAGTGATCTTCTCCCACCAACTCAAAGGATAAGAATCAACATTGCCACAAGACATCAGTGTGCCACAACTGCTGCAAACATGGGAGATAAGCTGACTAGAAGCTCACCGTAAGGAAAACACTTTCTTCATACAGCCATAGGCCAGATGCAAGGAGAATTTGGGGTGAAAAGGGAGAGGGACCTTTACTGATATTCAAGGTAAGGCAATTTTTAAGGGGTAAAGGTAAAAAACATTCAGATGGAAGAAACAACAGACTGAACTAAATGAAAGCAGTTCCCATGTCTCAATATAGAAGACTTACCCATCTTTCTGACTTCTCCAGTTTCCAGTTCAGAAAAGTGCCATATAGGATCTAAAGTCACTACCAAAAGGGCTCTACAACACCTAGGTACGGATGTAGCTCTGTGCCACAAGTTTGGGCAGAATCAAAGGAAGCTACTGGTCTAATTACATCAGACCAGGCAAGACGGTAGGGAAGCAGCTCTGAACATACTCCAGAACCAAGACTAGGGAAGCAATAACTAGCCTAGAACCACCACCCAACACTGGAAAAACTCCTATTACGTAGAGCTCAGAGCCATTATACCAGTTTAAATCCCTCGTACACAGGAACTTTGAGGACCCCCAGAAGTATGAAGGCATCAATACATTTATTTTAATAGATTTTTCAGGAATTGGCACTTTCCATTATCCAGAAATTACTCTCCATTACTTCTAACAGAAGAAAAAAGACAGTAAAATATGTATATAACAGCAAATATAAGACAGCAGTCCTTCCTTCATCACACTTCTGTCTGAAACTCATCTAGAATCTCCCTCTTCTAGTCACAGACCTTATTTTTGACTTTTTTGATCTCCTGGATACTTCATCATCTGCATCAAAGAGAGACACATCTTCAGTGTCATCATTGCTGTCCTAAGGAGAATAGATACAAAGAGTTACAGGAGAAAAGAGAATCACCATTTTCAACTTCAAAAAGGGACAATTTTGATTCTGAGAAGAATTATGATGACATCTTAAGGTAAAAATAAATTTGAGAACAGGAAGATTTAACCACAAACAGAAGAAAAACATGCAGTAGCTGGATTCTATTATCTGTTTTGTGCTTTGTTAAACCTACTTAAAATCACACTATGAGTCCAACGATCCTTTCAGCAGTCAAGTAGCTAACCTTACAGCTAGTCTAGGGTCCTTAATTCAACCTGCTCCATTTCTTTTGCAGAACTCATTGCTTTATACAGAAGCTGTTACTATGCCTGGCAATAGACTGCAGCTCTTTGCATTTTAATAAGGTTCTTCATAATACATTAGTGATGGAATTCGATTTTTTTTGTTTTTTAACAGAAAGTGAGCACGACTTCGCTACAGGCCTTATGGCAAATACGACTAAAAAAAACAGTCTAGGGCAGTCACCACAAAACTCTTTTTCCTGAGCCTAGTCCCGTCTCAGCCGCTCGCTGCCTGCCTAAGAGCGGCCCGAGAAAGGCTCAAACTGCCCCACGCTCCAAGACCCCCTCGCCTGGGGCAGGTCACAGCTGCCTTTCGGT